CTATCTGAAGAGAATACAACTGCTTCTTCAACAACTTGTTCGTCAGAGATTTCATCATGTAAATACTCTCGAGTTTTGTCTAAACCTCCGGAGCAGTTTCGAGGTCCACCACATAACGCAAGGCGTCATCTGATCGATTTAGATCAATCATACTTACCGCCTCTTCCTCAATCTCTTGCCACTCTTCATCGTCTATCTTTGCTGGTTTCTTCGATTTCCCTAGCAAAACCTTAGCCAGACCTTGCTTTATCAGAAGATCCTTCATCCTTCGTCGCCAAAGAGTAAAGTTGTTCTTTCCATTGAACTTCTCAATGTCATACTTGACGTTTGATCCCTTTCTTGTCATCGTGGTAGCAAACCCCAGAGAGCGGAATAACCTGGCTTTTATACCAATTTGTAGAAACGAAAAAACAATCCACGAAATAAAAAAGAAGAACCAGATACAAAAGAAAGAGACAGCCAATCACAACACAAAGATATATGTGGTTCGGCAATGTGCCTACGTCCACGGGGATATGATAGCTTCGTTACTGACATTGGAGAATATGGTTACAATGACTCTCTTCCTCACACCCCTCTCTGTTTTCGTATTATAAAGAAATCTCCGTTTTTCCTTCTAACCCTAAAAAGAACCCCTTCTCCGGAGTCGTCCCTTTGACTCCACCTTGGCAGATCAATTTCCTCAGAATACAATACATCAATCCTCAACATTCTAGGGAGGTACTTCCATGAAATGAAAACTTAAAAGTGAATGCTCTATGAAAAAATGGATCTTTTGAGCCCTTGATTGAAATTATAAGATAATGAAAGAAAAAAGCTACTCAAAATGGTTGTTTCGATGCTTAAAAACTATCTAATTGATCATCTCAAACTCAAGATGTATAGATTTGGGAAAAAAAAGATTTGAAGTTTGAAAAATAGTGCATTTTGTAACACAATATTTGGACCGTGCTTTTTCAAGATTTCTAAGTCTTTATAGACTTGCTTGAACTGCACCAGTTTTAAAGAATTGAATTTCACAATTAGGGGTTGAAACAAAAATTTAGGCATTGTAGGAGTTTCTAGCGCCGGAACTACATTATTTTGAAAGAGTTGAAGGTGCTTACTTTGATTGTTTAAGGTGGTTGCCTTATGTTATTATAAAAATAGTTGCCCTTCATAATAAGCCAAAAGATATTGTGCTCTCGCATGAGTATCTGCCTATTGACTCCCTCATGTAAAACCCAATCTAGAATTAATTTCAAATATCAAATTGAAATTTTTTCTTCAAATTTTGATCTCTATGGCCTTGTAAAATAAATGTTTGTTGTACATAGGCTTTTAATTTATGGAGGGGGAGATCTAAGTGTTGGAAAATTCAAATTCAATTTTTTTTTATGAAATATGATTTATAGATTTAAAAAATCCTCCTGAGTGGGTTTTCTAACTGATGGAATAGATGTACACTATGTATACATGATACTTTCCCCTAATGTGTATAATACAAAAGATGTTTCTATGAGGTCTAGGTCTTATGGAAGAAAATAATGCCTCACTTCAACTCCTCACCAGAAAATGCAGTTTTGACATGCAAGCCTCTATGATCCACCTCTGATTGTGAAATTTGATGCTAAAAAAAGATACATATCTTGCAGATATTTGGACAAAAAGAATAGGTGGTCTAGATAATGCATTACAAGATACACTACTTTTATCACTTGAAATCCTTGTTTTTTCTCATTCATAATAGTCGAGTACAGATGAGGTTTTACAACATCAAAGCTGCAAATTTTGGTGACTTTTGAGATGTAAGTTTACTTTTTTCATAAAGGCTAAGGTTATTTTAACCTTTTCCTAGTTTGAATCCATATTTACTAATCTCAATAATCATTTAGTCCAAAGTAAATAGCATATGAATCTATTGTATTAGAGTCCAATAAATATACATTAAATTCCTAACTAACCCGATACTAACTCGATGACACTCCGCACCCGATAATACCCCAGTAATGATAAGTGTATTACATTTTAAACGATACTTATTTTAAAACTGTCATTACTAATTATAAGAAAGAAAAGTATGCACTAAGATCATTTATTTTTAGTATAAAACGTTACAACCATAGATGTGAAGTTAGGAATATGGAGTATGCTATTGATTTAGCACAAAGTCCAAAATAAAATTTATTAAACTTTGTAAAGCATCTCAAGTTCTTAATTTTCGTATCTAATTTATGTAGTATACGGACGTCACCACCACACTTGACTATTAGATGTGAAATTGAGTATTTGGGGTATGCCATTGACATGGCACATAGTTCAAAACAAAATTTCTTGAACTTTGTGAATCATCTGTAGTTGTTAATTTTCATATCCAATAGCTAATAGTGATTGCGATCTCCTTATATTCAAAAGTGAAGGATGAAATTTCTATGAGGCCTAGGCTTTATGGATAACAAAATAAAGCCTCACCGCAAATCTTTGTCCAGAAAGAACTTTTGGCAACAAAAATCTCTATGATGGCTCTAAAATCAATTTCCAATATTGATAATAAAATTTAAAATTAAAAAAATGTACAGATCCTGAGAATCTATGAATACTTATTTTTAGGGCGAAATGGACAGTCTAGATGATTTGTAATAATATACAGTATTTTTATTGCTTGAAATCCTAATTTTTTTCACAACCATAATGTTCAAGCATAGATAATCGATGTAAAGGTTTTCCAATGCTTGAGTTGTAATTTTTGATGAGTTATGAGGTGAGGCTTTGCTTTTTTGACAAGGCTGCAATCGGAGCAAACGATTTCCAAAAATGAATGAATGGTCATATAGAGCACACCATCCTATAAATGCGCACTTCATTTTATAAAAAATTAATTTTAAAAAGTTGTTTTGATTCTTAGTTTTGTTTAATGCTAGTAATAATACACCTAACCTAAGCGATATACCCCCTTTATGGTAAAAGAAAACATTTTAAAAATAATACGCAAAAAAAAAAAAAAAAGTTTTAAGACTCGGCTGAGTCCAACAGGCTTGGCTGAGGCTAGTATGTCTCGTTGGGAGCCCCTTTCTTCCATTCTCTCTTCATTTGAAAGCCCGTGATAATCTTTTTATTAGGGAAGGAGCAGAAGGCGCGTAGATTCCATCAAAACCAGACATGTCTGGGTTTTAGTGGGAGAGAGTGAAACATGTGACTTTTATATATATATATATATATATATATATCTATATATCTATCGCGAGAGAGAGGGGGAGACACGTTGGATAGGACTTTCTTTTCATTTGGTGATGTACCATCTTCGTCTTTTCATTTTTACTTTTTTTTTTAATTTAAAATATGCATTATATGAGGTAACGAATCCATTCGGCCAGATAGATAGACTCGGCATAGTAACTCGCATTGGGTTTGGAACAAATCCCAAGCCCGAGACGAGTATGAAAAGATTGTGGCAAAATATCAGCTCCAGAAGAGCAGAACGTCAACAGTGTTCCGCATAATCGTGATTCTAAAATAAAAATAAAAGAGTGTAGAAAGTCATATCAAAAGATAACTATTTAGCACTACCAATAGGTGTGATGTGCAACCCAATAAAGTGAGAACACAAAATGAAATAATAAAGCTGCTGTCCCCAAAAAATTGTACATGAGAGCGAGGGAATGGATCTTAATAGTGGGTCACCAAGGAACTTGGCTAATGGTCTAAACGAAAGGTTGAACCCTTTCAAAGATAATTGTCCTTTTCAAGTCAATATAAGAGTAACTTTTTATATTTGTGTTTAGGGAATTTTATCCAAGAAAACTGTTAGAGATTAATTATTTATCATTTTATCTATATCTTTTGATTTAATTTTATATATGATCCTGAGTTGGAATAATAGCAAATGAAAAATGTTGAATAGTTCATTTCTTATGGGTATTTCGATAAATTTCCTTTATGTTTATTACCTTTTGTAAATTCCAAAGCTATAATATTTATACTCTTCTTCAACAAGCAAGGCCGTCTGTGGATAATCTACCAGTTGTGTCTATAAAGAAAAAGTTTACTAGAGACGAGACAGATTTTTGAGATATAATAGTTTGCGAAATTCATCAGTTTATGTGTCCATCCATCTATCTTTCTGCATACATTCAGAAGCCTCAAAGGTTCACGGACTGACCCACTAATATCCATTGCTTATAGGGGTACCGATGGTTCCGCACTAACTTATTTCTTTGGTTTTTTTTAGAGAGAAATCAACAACATTTTATTTGTGGTTAAAAAGAAATCATAACTTCAATTAGGCAATATCACATCTCATATAGATGATGTCATCATTTATTATAGTTAATAAACATTTTTTTCTATAAAACATGTATATTTTATTTGTGATTAATTAGCTAAAATACTTATAAACAAAAAAGTTATTATACAGTGAGGCAAGAGTATCAAGTATCCAAGTACTTTAATGAATACTCATATGTATAAGTACTCTAACATATCTCGTATATTGACCTTTTTAGTACAAGGTGGTCACAATTAGTCTTGACCATTGGATGTGAAATTGGATAGCTGTATTTATTCCATTGATCAAGCTTAAACTTCAAAAGAAATTTTTTCAAATTTTGTGACACCCTAGCTATTAGATTTTACATCATATAGTTACAAATAATTGTGACCTCTTTATATCAAACGTAAATGATCTGTATACACTCCCCACATTAATAATAAATTTATTTAAATCTCTAACACCCCGCTTCAAGCTCTACACTTTGCATCGATGGCTCGTGTGTGTGAATGGAATGCTGATATCGCAAATATCGTACAAATACTAGAGATAACCATCTCCCACATAAATGATAATCAATCTCCTAAGGGAAAATTTTAATTTAAAATTTTTAATTCCGGCCTTCAACAATTGGATGCTTGATATTCAATCTTAACAACTTACGGTCTTAAAAATTACTTCGATATTAGTTTTTACTCGAGGGAGTAAATGAACAATATACTCCCATAGGAGCATAAAATCGTTAAAAAAGTAAGTGCTAGCCGCCCTAAGAGGGCCTTTCACGCGTCACCATCTACTAAAAATGATTTGGAATTACATGCATGTATGGAGGTCCTATTCAACAAGGGCCTTTTTAGCGTGAAACACGTCGAACCGGTGTCAGAAAGAGCGACTCGGGCCGGGTAATCGGTCGCCTCGCGCTGAGTTTGAATAATTCGGCTTGATTAGTGTTGAGTACTGTAGCAGAAAAAAAAAAAGATAAATTTTTTTAAAACATATAAAAAATCTAAAAAATTGAGAAATATATGTTTAAAGTAAGATTTTAAAAACATAAATTTTAAAAAACTAGGGGTATTTTTAAAATAATTTTAAAAGAAGAGAAACTATAAAAACAAGTATTAATGCTTTCCAATCTTTGGAAAAATAATAGAAAACATAAAAAAATATATCTCAAATAAATTATTTATTTTTAAAATTTTTAATACTTTTTTTAATATCTCCAAATTGAACGCCCAACTCCATACAACTGAAACTGGGCAAAGAAAAACTACTTGGCCAATTTTTTAATCACTGTGTGAAACTGAAAGGTCAAGTATTCACTGTGTTGAGAGTTATTAGACTGCATCCTTTAAAGCATCTACTATTCATTTACAATAAAAAATAAAAATCGTACCGAAATATAATATATTTTTTTTATTTAATCAAGCAAGCTTCTTGAGAGAGAGAGAAAATAACCTGGTGGCCAAAACATATGCCAAGAATCATTTTCTCCAAATGGTGCAAATGTTTGAGGGCTTGGCAAATTTGAAGGTTCCATGAATCGTTGCAGTGAGCATCTGATGCATTGCCTGTGATCACAAAGCCTGTGCACTCATCAATGCTGTCAAAGAAGCAGAAATCTCCATTAACTACGAGAAAGCTGTCCCACACTTCAGCAGCCTCCTTTAAAAACCTTTTAAATATTTCGATAGAGGTTCCATGGCGGTCGGCAAAATGGGAGTTTAGAAGCCCGGGGACTAGCAACCCAAATTTCATAGGGCATGGATCGCTCATTCCTTCTACAAAGCCAAACTCCTCAATGAAATTGTAGACACCAGAAATATAGAACCGGGCATTCGGATTAAATTTGGGTTCCAAGATTGAAAAGGATGCCAACATTAGAGCTAGAATCAGAGGTTCCAAACTTGAGGGAGAATGATTCTATTGTTGTATAGAAAACATTTCTAGTAGACTAGGAGAGCAAGTAGCTAGGAAATATTGGGCCCACCTTGAGTAGTGGAATATCGATTAATCCTTTGTTCGTGCATTATTCGGGGGATTAACCCATAACCAATTGGGGATTTACCATGTAACCACGTGACCTACTCCATGTTGACCCGCGATAGGGCTAGCAATAGGCAGGGTAAGGTTGAGAATTTACCCAATTTGGATTTGAAACTCGAATTTTGGATCCTATTTGGATCTGAGTATGGATCCAATATTTAGATACGGATTCAAAATTTAGATCCAAATAGTAATTCGGATAAGATCCGGGTACCATTGGATCCTAACCAATTTTTAAAATAACATATATTACTATATATAGTTATATAATTATTAATTTATATATAATATATATATAATTTTTTAACTTTTGGAAGACCTAACAAATCCATGTATAGATTTTGGATCCGAATCGGTTCTAGATTTTTATATAGTTTTTGGATCCGAATTTGGATCTAGATCCCCATGTATACTTTCAGTTCGGATCCGGATATGGGTGGATTCAAACCCCGATCAAGAAAATTCCACCCCTAAGGCCAGGCCTGCCCTGGCCCAAGCAAGGTCCAAAACCTTATAGGGTTTGCTTGTACCTGGCCTAACCACCCAGCCCACAGCCAGCCTTAACCCATGCTTGAGGATATTAGAATCTAGGTTGAAAACACATTATTATGGAGGGAATGACCTAATCCGGTTTCAATTTATACCAACCGGTGCAATAAAAGTAAAATGGCATTCATCTAAAAATGAGGTGAAAAATGGGAAAAGAGGACATCTAAAAATGAGGTCAAAAATGGGAAAAGGGGAGAAATCAACAGGACATGGAAAACAATGGGGGGATATCACTATTAGGATTTAATAGTCTTCTTAGACGTGGAAACATGAAACCAAAAATTGGATCCCACGAAGATCGTGTTCTCATCCAGATAGTAACAAAATAGAGGAGAGCATGAGTCACAGTACGAAAAATAAAGCATAAAACACACACACACCACAAAAACATAAAGATTTATGTGGTTCACCCCAAGAGGGCTACATCTATGGGCACGACAAACTGAAATCCACACACCAATAAAAGTTACATAATAGATTTTGGGACATAGAGTTACTTCTTTACTCCTTGACAAAACCTAGTCGAGAAAACCATTTTAGACTTGCTCTCTTGATTGGCACGAACCGCCGATCTCTCATTTCTATTCCACAGTTAAACCACTATCTCCACAGTTAAACCACTTTCTTATCTCTATTCTACAGACAGCTAAACCACTGTCTAGGAAGAAACCATCTCCATTCCACAACTAAACCACTGTCCAAAAAGACAACCTTAAGAGCAACCGAGACTTTTTCTCATTGAAAAGAAAAACCACCCAAAATCTTCATGAAAATCGCTTATTTATAGGAAACCATCATCTCAATCTACAGGAGGCATATCCATGGTGTTTCTTTATGTAGGAAGTTCTTTTTTCTCTAAGGGGAAGCCTTGCCTCTGGAGCAAAGGAGGCACAATCTTTCTCTTTAGAGAAAGCCACATTTCCCATATGGTGATTCAATTAGGAAGCCATATTTCTCATATGGTGATCCAAATAGGGCACACAAATTCTTTGCACTTTCTATGCTTCTTCTACAACATAAAACTTATATACTTCCCTTTATCTAACCTTCCATTTTGAATGGAGGGCTAAGATTTCTCCAATCACAATGTCACGTCTCTACATTATTTTTTTTTAATTTTTTTTTATAAACTATTTTGACACCAAATTTTGGACGTCCAATCCTCTATTAAACTCGCACTAGTGAAAAATATAAAAGCAATATTTCCAATAAAATAAAATGACCAAAATACATTAGAAAGTTTCAAGGGGTATTTTGGTCATTATATTTTATTGAAAACTTATTTTTAATATTTTTTATAGTTGCATCCCAATGAGAAGATGACACGTACCAAATTTTATATTCATACAATTTGTATAAAAAAAAACTAAAACTAAAATACTTTGAGACATCGGATCTAAGATCAAACGGTGAGTGGCTCTCTCGATCAAAATTGGATGGCTGGATGGTAGGGGGGAGGATAGTTCTTCTATGATGTAGGAAAAAGTACCGAAAACCTTTCCATATATATATATATATATATATATATAAAGGTTAGG